CACACTAGGTGTAATAAGATTTAGTGATCACCAAGACCCATTGTAGATGTAGTAAGATTTAGTGATCATCAAGACACATTGTAGATGTAGTAAGATTGTGGTCAACAAGATACACTGTTGATCCTGTTGGAAAAATAATAACACTGTTTTCACAGTTTCTTACTTTACTTGTGTTAACTTTATTATATGCAGCTGGTAAGGAATATAAAACTCAGTAAAACTACCTTATAATTGTTTTCCCTTGAAAATAGTGTATTATTTTGAAATTAATATTAAGTGTGAGTAAAACAAGAGTGAGCTGTTTATTTAATAAAATAATTCATCGTGTGCATATATTTCAGCAGTGAAGGATGTTGCAAATTATAGAATCATGACCTTAAGTCATGTTATAATGTCTAGAAAGAGAATGCTAATATTTTATAAAAAAGAAAAAAGAAAAGCAATAATGATTGTTACTTTTGGCACTTACTGCATGCAACATAAAACTACATGAAGATGTTAAATCTGTAGAGATAACATGTAAAGATGTATAATTTTTCTAATTATTTTGTAGACAACCAGTCACTATTTTGCAACTGCACTAAATGTCTATTTCATACAGACTGAAAGTTTTCAGATACATTTATTTCCACTAAACAAGTGAATCAGAACATTTCAAAAATGTTTTTCTTGTTAGTATTTTATCACCAGATTTATGTTCATTGTTGATGCTGTAAAGGTTTTTTTTTGAGGAACTAATACTTAAATAGGGTCAATGTGTTGGAACAAAATTGCAAGGTTCAATATAAAATAAATGTGAGACCAATTTTATGTTTTTGAATTTGCCACTTTTCACAAAGTTAGAGCAGTAGCATTGGATAATAATAAAGTGAATAACAAGATAGGTGCTCTTGTTGTGGTGAATTATAGCTGATTTATGTGGTGATTTAGTTTTTACTCATGCAAGATATTTTGAATTATTAGGTTTCTCTGAATGACCATGATATCAGGATCTTTCCTCATACAGCACCTGGTTTACATATTTTCATGGCTTCTTCCCTCTTCATGAAGGTAAGTGTAAGTTTTATAAACAGTAATAGGAGAGAGAGAGCTTATCCTTGATTGTAAGGTCTATCCACACAGTAACAGGAGAGAGAGCCTATCCTTGATTGTAAGGTCTATACACACAGTAACAAGAGAGAAAACGTCCTTGATTGTAAGTTTTATACACAGTAACAGGAGAGAAAACCATTATTTGATTGTGTAAGTTTTATACACAGTGACATGAGAGAAAAACCATTGTTTGATTGTGTTTTATACACAGTAACATGAGAGAGAAAGCCACCATTTGATTGTGCAAGTTTTATACACAGTAACATGAGAGAGAAAGCCACCATTTGATTGTGTATGTTTTATACACAGTAACATGAGAGAGAAAGTCACCGTTTGATTGTGTAAGTTTTATACACAGTAACATGAGAGAGAAAGTCACCGTTTGATTGTGTAAGTTTTATACACAGTAATATGAGAGAGAAAGCCACCATTTGAATGTGTAAGTTTCATACACAGTAACATGAGAGAGAAAGTCACCGTTTGATTGTGTTTTATACACAGTAACATGAGAGAGAAAGACACCGTTTGATTGTGTTTTATACACAGTGACATGAGAGAAAACCATTGTTTGATTGTGTTTTATACACAGTAACATGAGAGAGAAAGACACCGTTTGATTGTGTTTTATACACAGTAACATGAGAGAGAAAGCCACCATTTGATTGTGTAAGTTTTATACACAGTAACATGAGAGAGAAAGCCACCATTTGATTGTGTAAGTTTTATACACAGTGACATGAGAGAGAAAGTCACTGTTTGATTGTGTTTTATACACAGTAACATGAGAGAGAAAGTCACCGTTTGATTGTGTTTTATACACAGTAACATGAGAGAGAAAGACACCGTTTGATTGTGTTTTGTACACAGTAACATGAGAAAGAAAGCCACCGTTTGATTGTGTTTTATACACAGTAACA